GAGTCAGCTCATGTGATCATCTCTTCAGAGACTTTTCCTAAAGCCCTAATCAAAACTAACCACATTCTCCCCATTTCTGGTTTCTTCTTTCCCCTCTCAGCAGTTATTATTTGCTACCTAAAAATATCTTGTTTATTCACCTGTTTGTCTGCTCTTTCTCGCAGTGGTAAGAACAGCGATCTTTGCCCATCTTACTGCTTTATCCTGCCTGGCTGAATAACTACTTGTTGAATGAATGAATGAATACTGAGGTTAAAAATAATTTGAAAAAGAAGAATGAGGTTGGAAGACTAACACTATCTGATTTCAAGACTTGTTATAAAGCTACAATAATCAAGACCATGTGGTATTAGCATAAGAACAGACAAACATATCAATGTAACAGAATGGAGTCCAGAAATAGACCCACATATAAATGGACAACTGGTTTTCAATAAAGGTACAAGTTCAATAAAGACGGACAGTTTTTTCAACAAATGGTGCTGGAACTTAGCCCTGGTCGGGTAGCTCAGTTGGTTAGAGTGTCGTCCCGATACACCAAAGTTGTGGGTTTGATTCCTGGTCAGGGCACTTACAAGAAGCATCCAATGAATGCATAAATATGTGGAACAATAAATCGATGTTTATCTCTCTCTCTCTGAAAAAAAAAATCAATAAATAAAAAAACAAGTGGTGCTGGAACAACTGGATATCCATATGCCACAAAGAGAACATGTATCCATACCTCATACCATATACAAAAATTAACTCAAAGTGGATTGGAAACCTAAAACTATAACACTTGTAGAAAACATTTGAGACTTTGGGTTAAGCAAAGGTTCTTTAGAAATGACACCAAAAACATTATCCTTTTTTTTTTAATGATACACAGAACTTCATCCAAATTAAAAACCTCTATTCTTCAAAAGACACTGTTGTTGTTGTTTTTATTTGTTTGTTTTTGTTTTATTCCTCACCCGAGGATATTTTTCTATTTATCATCAGATAGAGAGGGAGAAAGGGAGAGAGAGAGAGACAGAGAAACATCGAAGTGATAGAGCCACATCGACTGGTTGCCTCCAGTACAATCCGACCAGGGCTGGGGATGAACAGCATCCGAGGTACGTGCCCTTGACTGGAATCGAACTCGTGACTCATTGGTCCTCGGGCCGACACTCTAACCACATAGCCAAACCGGCAAGGGCTAAAAGACACTATTTTAAAAAATGAAAAGATAGCCCTGGCCAGTTTGGCTCAGCAGTTGGAGCATCGGCCCACGAACCAGAGAGTCCTGGGTTCGGTTTCCACTAAGGGCACATACCTCGGTTACGGTTTGTCCCCAGCGCCAGTTGGGGTCGTGTGGGTGGCAACCACTCGATGTGTCTCTCTCACGTCAATGTTTCTCTCTCTCTCTCTTCCTCCCTCTCTCCCTCCCACTCTATCTGAAGATAATGCAAAAATGTCCTCTAGTGAGGATATTAAAAAAAAAAAATGAAAAGACAAGCCACAGACTAAGAGAAAAATATGTGAAATTCTGATAAAGGACTTGTAGCCAGAATAAAGAACTCTCAAATCTCAATACTAAGAAAACAAACAACTAAATAAAAAAGAGGGAAAATATTTGATCAACTAAACATGTCACCAAAGAAGACAGACAGACAGAAATAAGCACATGAAAAGATGATCAGCATGATTAGTCACCAAGGAAAATACAAATTAAAACGACAATGAAATACCATGACACACCCACTAAAATGGCTCAAATTTAAAATGCGATAAAACCAAGTGCTAAGAGTATGTGGAAAAATTATAACTCATGTATACTGCTGGTGGGCATGTAAATGGTATAACTCCTTTAAGCAGTTTGGCAATTTCTGGAAAAGTTAAATATACAGCTACTATATGATCCAGCCATACCACTGATAGGTGTTCACCGAAGAAAAATGAAAGCATATGTCCATACAAACTCTTGTACATGAACCATCAGAGCGGTTTTACTGCTTATAGCCAAACTCAGGAAACAACCCAGATGTCCATCAACAGGTGGGTACAAAAACAACTTTCAGCACATCCATACAATGGAATATTACTAAGGGATAAAATTAAGTAATAAACTGTTTGACACATACTACAACGTGGATAAATCCCTACATAATAATAATAATGCTGATTATAAAAAGCCAGATACAATATTCGATTAATATAAAATTCTAGGAAATGCAAACAAATGTATAGGGACACAAAGCAGAACAGTGGTTGCCAAAGAGGAAGGGATTATAAAGAACACGAGAACCATCTCAAGCAGTGATGGATACGTTCATTATCTTGATTGTGGTGATGGTTTCACAAGTGTATACATATGTCAAAACATACCAAATTGTACACTTAAGTACATACAATTTATTGCATGTCATTTATAGATCAATAAAGCTGGATAAAAATATTAAAACAGGCCCTGGCCAGTGTGGCTCAGTTGGTTGGAGCAAAAGGTGGCCGGTTCAATTCCTGGTCAGATACATACCTAGGTTTCAGGTTTGATCCCTAGTGGGGACACATATGGGAGGTAACTGATTGATGTCTCTCTTTCCCTCTGCCCACTTCCTCTCTCTCTAAAATCAGTAAAACAGCCCTGGGAGGTTTGGCTCAGCGGTTAGAGCGTCGGCCTGCGGTACAGAGACCCGGGTTCGGTTCCTGCTAAGGGCATGTACCTCGGTTGCAGTTTGTCCCCGGCCCTGGTTGGGTCATGTGGGTGGCAACCACTCATGTGTCCCTTTCACATCAATGTTTCTCTCTCTCTCTCTCTCTCCCTCCCTCCCACTCTATCTGAACAAAAAATGGAAAAATGTCCTCAGGTGAGAATTAAATAAATAAATAATAAGTAATAAAATCAGTAAAACATATCTTCGGGCAAGAATTCATGAAAAAAATAATAAAACAGATCTATAATCTGAAAAAAAATTATTCCCAGTTATGTGTTATGTTCATAATCTGCTTTTTCAGATGGCAGACTTCTTTTTTTATAATAGGGTTGGCAGGAAGAGAGGAGGAATTACTGCATTTCAAACTGTCATCTTTATCACTTACTACTTTGGCTATAACCACACTTCCCTGCTTCTAGACTAACAAGCTGGACAATGTAGGGTCTATTACTACCCTGCCCCTTCCCCACCCCCAGCCCCCAGTCTTTTGTCTCCTAAAGAAGCAGATCCTTACTTGTCTGGAAGGGCAGACACAAGGAACAAAAGGCTCAATGACTATTTGACAGATTAAAGAATAGACAACTGCTTTATTTAAAAGCTCCCTTAAGAATTAACATGAGGCTATACACTGTTCTATTGAAATGCAGTTATATACTACCCAGTTCTGTAAGCACTTGCCAACAGACCTGTCCAAGTTACTTCCTAAGTTTCCAGTTTTCGTTCCATATCCACCAATGAATAAAGTGCAGGTGTATTTTGAGAAGGCATTCCTAATATTTTGAAAAGTCTCTCATTCAAATAACCCCAAGGCCCTGGCCAGTTTGGCTCAGCGGTTAGAGTGTCGGCCTGCGGTCCGGAGAGACCCGGGTTCGGTTCCCGCTAAGGGCACGTACTTTGGTTGCAGTTTGTCCCCGGCCCTGGTTGGTCGCGCGGGTGGCAGCCACTCGATGTGTCCCTTCACGTCGTTTCTCTCTCTCTCTCCCTTCCTCTCTCTCCCTCCCACTCTATCTGTACAAAAAATGGAAAAATATCCTCGGGTGAGGATAAAAAAAAAACAAAAACAAATAACCCCAAGAACTTGAAACAGTTTTTCAAATGTCTAAGACACTGATCAGTTTTTCAAATGTCTAAGACACTGATCATACCGGGACAATCAAGAGTAAACAAAGAGTCTTATATATGAATTGTATATAAAAGAGTGGGGATACAAAATAGCAGGATCACCATCTGAAAACAACAGGTCACACTACTACTTAACAACGAAATTAAGGCTTAAAAATGACTAGCAACAGTTATAAAATAAGAAGAGCAACATGGTGATTAACAGTAGGGATTCTGGCTCCACCACTTACTGGTTGAATGACCTTAGGCACCTTGCCTAACTTCTGAAACTCAGTTTACTCATCTTTGAAAAGGGCATAATAGTACTAGCTCGTAGGGTTATGGTGAAGATTAGATGTGTCTGGCTTGCAGTAACAGTTTAACCAATATTAGCTATTAGTATTACCCTGAACTTTCAAAGGATCTCATTAATTCACTAATCCTCCTTCTGACTCAGATCCTGTCATTTACTAGCATGGAACGTCTGAGCCTCAGTTTCCACATCCGTAAAACGGGGGGAGAAGGGGGTGTTTAATGTTACCTGACTTTTAAAGTTATGGTGAAGGATTAAAGAACTGGCGATACCGCTCCCTTCCCTCCCATCTTTCAAAAGCGAAGATCACGGAGGAAGGAAATACTTCTAATAGCTGCCGATACAGTCAGTTTTTCCATTTCTGGCACGAGGGGAGGGGGTGATGCACAGACGCCCACAAAGGGGTCAGGGATCCTGAGCGAAGCCCCCAACCCGGCGCGAGAGGCAGTGACCTGGAGCAGCTCCACCGTCGGGGGCCCGGCCCTGCGCAGCTCGCTCCTCTTCCCCGCGGCGTCCCGGGCCCAGCGGCTTCCCGGAGCGAGCGGGGTTATTTCGGAATCACCATGAGGCAATTCTCATGAGGCAATGGGTCAGGAATGCGGCGCCGGGACGGGCCGCTGACGTCCGCGGGTCCCGCGGCGGCTCTACCTGCCCCGGTCCTGACCGGCATCCCCAGGGCTGCGGGAGCCGGAACTCGGGGAGGCAGGAAATGAATGGGGACCCGAGGGGTGGGGGCGCGGAGGGGCCCGGCCCCGGTCCGGGGAGAGCGAGGAGGTTGGGAGGAAGCATTCCCCCCGACCCCGGACGAGCGAGCGAAGCCCGATCGGGGCGCCCCGTCCCGGGCGGGGCTGACCGAGCGCGGCGGGGGACGGGCCGAGGCCCGCGCGGGGCCCCTCGGGGCTCCTCACCTCCGCGATGTCATGTTCCTCCCGTCCGCCGGCTCCGCGACGGACCGGCTCCTTGCTCAGGCTCCGCTGGGCCCGGTCACCATCGGGATGGCCCGAGGGAGGCCCGCTCGGGACCGGACGGGGGGCAGAGCCAGCCGGCCGCGCGCAGACCCCCCTCCAGGCCTGGGGATCCCGGAGACTGTGCAGCCGCCCCCCAAGCCCAGTTCGCTCCTCCCCTTCCCCCGCCCTTCGCCGCCGGCGCTGGCGTGACGTCACGCCGCGCGACACCCGCCGCCACATCCTGCTTCCAGTCCGCCGGGTACCAAGTGGCGCCTGGTGATAATGGCAGTTTGGTGGCTCCGGGGAGCCGCAGCCTGGCAGTTTCCGAAGCACCGTCACGTCCTCCTCCGGACGCCGGCTGCAGGGCGTGCGCTGCGCGCCCAGTGTCGTCCGCGCGCCCCCGAGCCGGGGGCTTCCGCTCCACCGCGCCGACGGCCATCCCTGCGCTGACGGCCGAACCGAATTCATTCATTTCATCCCGCAGACCGCCGCCCTGTACGGAGCTGGATAACCTCGGGAAAAGTTGCTTAATTTCGCCGAGCCTTAGTGTCCTTCATTTCTGTAAAGTACAGGTAGAAATGTTATTCATAAGATTATTACGAGGATTAAATATGCAAAATGCTTAGAACTAGGCCTGGGATCTAAAACTGAGAGCAGCAAAATAAAACATAACACTGAGAGCAACAAACACACAAGAAAAACAAAAACTCTTAGACACAAAGTGGTGGTTACCAGAGGGAGAGGAGATGGGTGGGTACTAAAGGGTAAAGGGGTCAACTGTGTGGTGACAAGATGATTTGACTTTGGGTGGTGGGCACACAATGCAATATACAGATCATGTATCCTAGGAATGTGCACTTGAAACCTATGTAATCTTATTAAGCAACATCACCCCAATAAGTGTAATTAAAAAATAAATAGTGAAATGGAGAGCCACTGAAAGATTTGAGCAAAAGAGGAATATAATCTCTGTTTCTAAAGTGTTATTTTGGGGACTCTGTGAGGAACCAGATCCGGAAGGCAAGACCAGTAACAGAGAGACCACTTCAGAATACTAGAATACTGTAGTATTCCAGGCTGGAGATGAGAATGGTTCAGACCAGAGCAAGATGGTAGAGGTGTTACTTATGCCCATGACACATCAAAGGCCACAAATCTAGTAAGTGAAGTCAACCCACATTAGGTTGCTCCAAAATCCTCGCTTTTTCCCTCAGTGCTCCCCATCTCACTCCTGTACAAAGAACTATCACAGTGTGCTAACTTCTTCAGCATCGATGTGCTTACAAAAATTGTCTTTGCCCTGGCTGGGTTGCTCATTTGGTTGGAGCATTGTCCAGATACACCAAGGTTGTGGGGTTCAATCACAATCAGACAACACACAAGAAGCAACCAATGAATGCATAAATCAGTGGAACATTAAATCAACGTTTCTCTCTCTAAAATCAAATAAATAAAATTTTAAAAATTGTCTTTAATATGCACATTTAACCTAGGTAATAGGCATTCAACAAGAAGTCACCCAACCTGTTTCTCTTTTCACTCTCCCTAAATTCTGGCCACCTAGATGACTCAAACAACATCCTAATTGATCTCAGGCCCGCAGGCTTGCCCTTTCCCGTCCATTCTCCACAGAATAGCCAGAGTAATCTAAAACACAAATCTAGTCACTCCCTACATTGAATACTTCAAAGCCTTCTCATTGCTTTTAAAATGAATTAAAAAAAATTGGGGGTGGGGAGAGCAGGTTGGAGGGGATCAATGGGGGGGGGGGGAGAGGCAGACATCTGTAATGCTTTCAACAATAAAGATAAATTTTTAAAAAATGTTTAACAACCACCTGGTCTGGTCCCTGCTCACTTCACCAGCCTGGCCTCTCCCCACCACTCATCCCATTCTCTTTGACCCAGTCATGCTGAATAACTCACTTCCTCTCCCAACTCAGGACCTTTAAACAATCTGTTCCACTCCCTGGAGAGTTCATTCCTGACCCCTCCTCTCCATGAACTCTAGTTTATGCGTCAGGTCTCAGACTAGAAGTCAAGTTCTCTGAGATAGGAAACCTTCCATGACTCTCTCAGTCCAGGTTACATGGTCCCCAACACACTTCCAGCTTAGAACCAAACACTCCCCAGTATAAACTCTAACACTCAGTATCATATGAGGGTTAAGTTACTGATCCTCAAAGCTCAGCCTGGGAGGCATAGGTAAGTCACTTAACTCCATGTCTCAGTGTCCTTCTCTATAAAATAGATTAATCAAAACACTACCTACCCCATAGGGTAGGTTGCAAAGAATAAAAGGGTTAGTGTTTGTAAAGTATGGTAAGTTCTTACCTAATGTCTTAGGTAAGTTCTTGGAAACTGTGACTTTAAGCAAAATAACATACAACAAAACCAATTTAACCATAGGCTAATTTACAAAAACAAGAGTTAAGTTCCTACAGCACAACTGCCTACAGGTTTTCTGTCTTTTTGTGGCACAAAGAGACATGATTTAATGTAAGTGAATGTGTGACCTTGGAGAAGTCATTTATTGAAATTGAGCCTCGGCTTTTTCATCTTAAATTTCTACTTCACAGGGACGCTTCATTGAGACTTAAAATGATTTAATGTCTGCAAAAATGTCTGTCTTATAATTAATAAGGCACTGTATAAATTTTTTTTTTAATTTTCTTTTTTAATCCTCACCGGAGGCTATTTTTCCATTTTTGTTCAGATAGAGTGGGAGGGAGAGAGAGGAAAAGAGGGAGAGAAAGAGAAACATCAACTCAAGAGAGTCACATCGACTGGTTGCCTCCCGCAGGACCCCAATCAGGACCGGGGACTAACCACAACCGAGGTATGTGCCCTTGACCCAAATCAAACTCGCGACTCATTGATCCTCGGGCCAACACTCTACCAACCAGGGCTAATTTTTTTTCTTTATTGATTAGAGAGAGAGAGTAAGGGAGAGAGAGAGATAGAAACATTGATGAGAGGGAACATCAGATTGGCTGCCTCCTGCATACCCCTACTGGGGATCGGGCCCACAACCTGGGCATGTGCCCTGACCAGGAATCAAACCGGCGACCTCTTGGTGCATGAGTTGTCGTTCAACCACTGAGCCACACCAGCTGGGCAAACACTGCACAGATTTAAGAGCGTTTTTTATATGGCACAACCAGGTGCTTAATGTTTATAACTAATACAGTATATTGATTATATTTTGCCCAATGAATGAACATTGAGTTTTGCAATACCACAGCATAACAGAAGAGGGAGGTCTTTATACTATCTCAATAGTAGGTCATTTAACAAATATTTTGGGGCATTTACAATGTGAAAGTCTAAGAGGGTCAGAATTTTTTTTTTTTTATCCTCACCCGAGGACATTTTTCCATTTTTTGTACAGATAGAGTGGGAGGGAGAGAGAGGAAGAGAGAGAGAAAGAGAAACATCAACATGAAGGGACACATCAAGTGGCTGCCACCCGCACGACCAACCAGGGCCAGGGACAAACTGCAACCGAAGTACGTGCCCTTAGTGGGAACCGAACCCGGGTCTCTCCGGACCGCAGGCCGACGCTCTAACCGCTGAGCCAAACTGGCCAGGGCTAAGATGATCAGAATTTTTAAGGGGCTCAATAAATCAACTGTGCGCTTCATTTATTCTTATACATTTTCTGGAATAGGTGGTTCTAGAAGATGCTTTGCTCAGAAAGTTAAACAAAGCTGCTGACCTGCCACTTTGTTTTAATTGCCACTTTAATCTGCCAAATTTGCATTTTTTAATTTGATTTTTTTTTTAGAGAGAGAGAGAGAGAGGAAGGAAGAGAGAGAAAAACATTGATTCTTGTTCCACTTATTAATGCTTTCATTGGTTGCCTCTTGTGTGGGCCCTGACCGGATCCAACCGCACCCTTGGCAGGTCAGGACAACACTGACCAACTGAGCTGCCTAGCCAGGACCAAATTTGTACTTACTCTTCCAGATCTTAAACAAACAAACAAAACACCACAAAACAATCCTAAATTTCCCAGAAGAAAGAACTTATAATTATTCATTTTATCTTTTTCCCTTGTATTCTTTGAGCGCAAGAATATATTTTATTCATTTGAAATTCTAGCTTTTCTAACCCCCTGTCATTGAGCACAATCTATAGTCTGAATAGGTGATGTAGGCATTAAGCCAACTGTGGAGAAAATGTCCATGGAAGGTTCCCGGCTAACCTTGCACAGAAAAGATTTCAATTTACTTGAGGATTAGATTCTTCATCTATTCCTTGATATTGATAATGGCAGTGCTCTGTAATGTCCTCACTAAGCAAAATAAAAGGTTTAAATTTTATTATTATTTTTTTAGGTTGAAACTTTATTTTGTGAGAATTTTATTGGTCTATAACATGAAACAGTTTCAGACAAGTTCTTTGCCTTCACCTCTTATTAGGAAAACAGCTCTCCAAACAGCAATCTAGTTCTTTCAAAGCAAGGAAAACTACATTTCCCATGATGTCCTGGACCCGGAAGGAAGTGAGACTCGACCCCTTCCGTGATTGCTCATAGACCGGAAGCCAGGACCTTAGTTCTTTTTCCCATCTTGCAAGGTAAGAATGGCGGCACTCTTTTGCAACACTTGATTTCAGGACCCCAATCCTTCGCCATCCGAACCAGGAGGGTATCAAGTCGACACCTGCAAGGGTCAGACATGCCCGGGGCCAACTAAGACACCTCCTGGACGCCTTATTTGTCTCGCTCGGGTTTGCAGTGGGGCACGAAGAGGGTGAGGTGGAATGCCGTAGAGGCTCCAGGTCTCCGGCTGCTCGCCACCCTCCTGAGCTGGGGGAACGGGGAGCCTCCGGGGATCCGTAGCAGGCTAATGGGCCTGCAGGGAGTAGGCCCTAGGGCAGTGGCGCGCGCTACGGAATCCAGGGTCTGGCATCCAAAAGGCGCCACTGAGCTAGTGTCACGTTGGGATTTGGGGCTGAGGCCCAATGCTCCTTTCCCGTCTCTCCACGTCCGCGACGGAAGTCGCCTCTTGGGCTTTGGCTCTTTTAAATCTGGCCAGAGTTCGGGCTATTTGTGTATATGTGCTCGCTTCCTAAGCTGATTTCTTGAGACCATCGGTAGTGTACTAATAGCAAAAGCCCGGGAAGCAAAAGGTTCCTAATTTCTTCCTCGCTGCGGCTAAGCTGTGGAGGT